AACAACTACCATGTGCAGGGTTGGAAATCACACCCTCAGTGTTGTTAGGCTAGTGGAAGAGTAGATTAGATACTTAGACCACTCTGCCACTGAGCCCCTAACAGGCACATGAAGAATGTGGCAGGGTAACATTTTTGAGAGCACTCAACTCTCTCCCTAACACGGGAAAGGTGTGTAACAGCACAGCATAAGTAAAAAAATTTAAAATCCTATGAAATGGCCTGACTCATAAAAAAAATATCAAAAACACAAAATATCAATTTAAGAGTGCTCACAATTACTTGTACTCAAAGTTCATCTAACAAATAAAGCATATTTCCCAAGACTTAAATACTATTCAGTACACATCCAATATATTGGACCCTTTTTTTTAAATTAAATTTAGAAATCCTTTGAATCACAGTTGAGGGAACCTTGACAGAATGAATAAGAACAGATAATTCTGTATAAATGTAAGTGTCATGAAAAAACCAGATGAACAAGACATTTATTGAGCCATGAATTTGTGATGTCTGTATTTTAGAGTATTCCAATTTTAAATGTAAGAAGATTTCATGTTAGTGTCTTTCATTGAGTAGACACAAGGGATGTGAAAGTTAATATTGTAATAGGTTTGTGATTATATTGGAACAATGTAGCCATCATTGGGGTAAGGCAACCTTTCTGTTATAAATTGATGAAATTATAAAGATGTTGTAATGGTAAAAAAGATAATTTAATGAAAAGCAAAGTAGTAAAATCAGTTTCTGATATCCCTGTCTTTTCTTACTGCAAGTAAGTGATCTGTCCCCTATTGGTAATGGTACATTGACTTTGAAACATTTGCATAGTTTACATGTTGCACAGGTGATGCATATCTTTTATCAACAGTTTATTGATTAATTGACAATAAATGTTTATGAAATTAAAGAAAAAATTATTTCAATACTGTTTCATAAAATGTGTACTACAACTACATTTTATACTTATGTTTCACATTTGAAATGAAGTTTTGAATCTCAAACATTGTGGAAAAGGAGAAGTCATTGGTAGTGCGAATTGTTCTTCCCATGTAAAATTGGATGGTTATAATGGAGACTGAAAATCGTGTAAAAAAAAATTTGAGTTGCTAAGACATTATCTAAAAACATGACATCACAAGAACAATGCTCCACCTATGATGAATTATACTTCAAATAATTCAAGTATGATAAAAAACACTGTGCCCTGATTTAATTAATCATGATAACCTCCCCTGATAAGTACTTTCTGAAATAAACAATGTAATAGTTAAAGCCCAAAATTAAACCCTTTTAAAACAAAATTTGACATTTCAAGTACAATGTTATTGTCTCCACCTTGTTTAATATCATGTATTAACATTCAAAACTCTTGTAAATCTTTGAAAAATAACCTAAATCATAAAATATCCATGATATAAAAACATTTGTTTAGGTCAACACTTTATAAAAATGCATGTAAACTGATAAACATCATTTAAAGTTTGAAATATAAAAACCTTGGTCCTTGTATGACAAATTAAATATTTTTTAATCATGACATTAATTGTTTGTCAGTATAATAGAGATTAATTTTAGTTTTTTGAATTGAATAAACTGAAGAAAAGTACTTAGTGTTACCCTATATTGGTGGTAGAGTTGTACTAACTAAAGCTTATTGTCTACATGAAAAGAAAGTGTATTAGAGAATATTTTTTCGGATTCCAACCAACAAAGGTTATCTCTCTTATACAAGTGTTCACTCCCATTACAGAAGTTAAACAGATTTGTTTACCTCTAGTTGCTTACATCCAGGTCCTATGGTCTCTGGTAGATAGTTGTCTCATTGTCAATTATATCACATCTCCTTAATTTTTATATTGGACTTATTTTTTTTAAGTCAATTTTGCACAATATTATCATCCCAAATGTTACCTCTCCCTTAAATGTTCTTCACCAAACAGAATCATGACCACCCATATTGGGGAAGGGTTGACCCAACATTTGAGGTGATACCATTTTGCAAAGTTGACTTCCTATATACTAGTTCAAATACACTTATGGAGTTGATATAAGAAAGAGTAACATAAATTTTGCCATATTAGCTCTTTACAACCACACATATTTAAAACATCTGAGAATATTTAAGAGTATATAATTCAGGCCATGTATTTAAAGAAAAAGTTTGGAGGTATTTATTCTTGTGGCACATACTGAACATTGTGGTTTAAATTATAGTTTTATTTTGTTGATTGCTGAGAAAGTAAGACCCTGTAAAGTATCAGTGGACTGTCTATCAAAAATTGTTTTTGCTCTCTAACTTTAAAACCACTTCCAGTTCAGTAATAAACCTTGACATGATTATCCGTCACTACTAGAAATTGTTTCTGCTCTCCAACTTTAAAAACCCCTTGGAGTATTATAATGAAACGTGGCATGATCAGTCACCCCTGTTAGATTTTGCATACAAGGAAGATCTCAGTTTATTGAATATGATGGTAAAAAAACTTAATTCAACCAAGCCTAGTTCATATGTAACTTTTAGTTGTTTCTGCTCTTTAACTTTTAGACCCTTACAGTACCAGTTAAGGTACGAATTAGTGGGGCATCAGTTAAATGTCTGCCTTCTTTGGGTGTTAACTTATCATGATAACTTCTCAAATTGCATCACAATTTACATATTTGTTCGAGCAGGTCCCTCTCTGACATTGTCTGATGTCTCCTATTACTTATTCACTAGTTTGTCTGTAGAAACCCTCCTGGTAATATTAAAGGGAATCACAAAATTATTTAATTTATTGTTTAATAAGGATATATTTAGCATAAATTGAATGAATTATTCATATCCAGTTGTGGTTTAAGTTTGATTTTTTAACTATTTTAATTACAGGAAGTTACAGGAAATTACATTTTAGCATGTAATTTAGTTATAAATAACACAAGCTAATTCATAAAAGACTCTCGTCAATATTGTCATTTGAAATCTTAATGTGGTTATGCATTCATGATGAGGGTGGTTTGGTTTATAAATAGGATTTAATTGGACATTGTATTTACTAATCTCAAAATTAAGAACAAATTACTTCTTAAAATATCATTATGAATAAAGTTTCACATTCAAATCTTTTTTTTAAACTGTTATGCCTCATAACTCTAATATGTGTTTTTTTTTCAAACTTCCAACAAAACAGAAATTCAACCATTGGAAATGGATGGCAATAATATTTACATTTATACTGCACTTGTTTCTCAAGAAATGAGCTGAAATTTTATCAGTTGATTAGTTTGGAAAAGAATTGAATTCAAACTTCAACTTAGAAACTTTTTTTTGCTAATTGGTATTGTAAAATGGGAAAGCCTCTTGGATAAGTACAGTAAAATAAGGATATGACGGTTGGCACTGAATTTTATCCTAAATAATACAATTAAGTAGGTCATAACAACAGGCAAGAAATGTTCCTCTCAATCATGTTTGCAGGGTAAGTTACAACATGAGGCAGATAGAGAAATGTAAGTTCCTTGTTACATTTGAAGTATTACAATTTAGGTGTCTATTGTTCTTATAGTTCCTCATATACATCCTTTGTCTATCATTGTTAGGGTTTGAGTGTTTCTGATGAAGGTAAATCCCGAAAATTACTCCAGACACACACAATTTGAAAAGTGTTATTGTAATGTACTGTAGCGTCACAGTACCCAAATTGCACCAAGTACCCAAATTGCACCTATTCAACAAAAATAGCTACAGAAATCTTACAAGTTTTCTTTGAGGCTAAACAATTTGTATTTTCATGATTTGACATTATACATGTCTTTCAACATATGTAAATATATTTAAATATAAATAAAACTTTCACAGTATATATCAACAGATGAAGCATTCACTGGAAAAAGTAAAATCTACGGAAACGTAGCCTTGCTACGTTCACAAAAAGTCATCTTTTAAAAATGAGCAAATACAATATGTTACAAGCTTCCATTTCTTAAATAATGAATAGTAAGCATGGAATAATGTCAAATTGTTCTAAATATTTGAAGAAATAATACAAAACATCTGTTATTCGATTTTTAAGGATGTGAATTTAAGCATGGATGCAATTTGGGTACTCCTCATTACAGAATAATGGATAGTTTGGAGGTCGGTTCAAACCCATTTTTCTATGATTCAATATGGATTCAAAATTGAATTGGTGTAACTATATACATGATAAAGTAAATAAGGATAGGTCTACAAAATACACACACAATGGAAACTTTTGCCTGGATCATAAAAAATCGTATGTGAAAAAACTGTCAAAATAGGTGCAATTTGGGTACCCTCACGTTATAGAATTGAAATGGCAATGGAAACATAATTATCAAATTGGTGAAAAATAAAATATTGTAAAATGGAAGCCTTGCCAGAAATTGAAATTGAAAAAAGGAATCCCAATAATTTAACTTTTTTTAATCTAATGAAACAAAAATAGAAATGACATAAATGGATTTTTTTCTCTCATATAAGTACCTTCATAATTCTAAGTTTAAAAATATTTATCTTAATGAGCTCTTGAAAACAGTCATAGGACAATAATTAATTGGCTAAAGATACACAAATGACTGAGACATGACAATCTTGTGATATGATATTTATTTATATAAGGATGTCCTTTCATACACTCTTTGATAATAATCACTCTTGTCATTGTTTGTGAAATACTGACATGACTGAAGACAAAAGATATGTTGATAGGACTAATTTGTGATTGACCCTGTGAGTATTTTCCAGGAAATATTGTTTATCAAAGTATAGTTTTGAAAAATGTTTTGTTTGTGATAGAATTGTGTAAAATACATAAGTGAGGGTATATGAGGGTTTTAAGTATTTTCCTATATTTTTTTTTCTTCCTTTATGTAATTGTTTTCAGCAGAAATTTTATTACATACAATTTCTGAAATATCTGTTTTCTACAATTTATTGGAAAATAGATATGTCAATGATTTAAGTAATACTGACGTAGATTTTGTTTTGTCTTATTTCAGGTTAGGAAGACATCATATATGGGATGCTTTAACAGAATCTGGAACAAACATGATATACATGTGGGATTTTGGTGGGAAAGATGTCAAATATACAACTCACAATAAGGTAGGATTTATTGGAAGAAATTTTAATTTTGTGTCTCAAATTAGCACAGAAAATATCTAAACTTAAACCCTTGTTTATCCTCCTGAATGAAATAAAAGAGAGCATAAGGCCACACCAATTTGATTAATAGTTCTTTGGATTTTCCCACTCCTGTTTTGGAGAATTTGACTTTTCAATAATAAAAAAAAAAAATTACCACTTCCGCAAATTTTCGGTCTGCATGCCGCTCCAAAATTAGTTTCTCCTTGATTTTATTTTCACATAAACGCTTTTCTGTTGCATATAATGCTCCTATTGCTTTAAACGCACGTGTGATTAATCAATTTGGAAATAAAAGGTAAAAAATTGGGATGCCAACATGCAGTTTTGTCAGCTCATTGCTGTGGACAAGTAGTTATTGAACACACAGTTATCAGAAATGCTTCTCGTTTTACTTTTAAAGACCTGTTATAGGATGCAAAAATAAAAAATCTTTCGTAAGATAACCACAAACACATCAATATTTGTTAGAACCATCGTCACCCTGATCCTTGTTTCAACAGGCATAGACCTATCTATCTTTTGGAATCAAAAATAAATATTCACATAGACAAAGCTTACTTGAAGAAAATAACCAAAATTAACTAAACCACAGTGAGACAAGAAAGTCTGATATGGTACAGGCACCAATAAATCAAATTATATGCATTAGAGTATATTTTGCTCCTCGTTTTTCTATGAAATAACCCATTTATAACATGTACATAAATTGTACAACTTCTAAATCACACAATTTAAAAAAAAAAGTATACTGCTGGCTTCACTTGTAGATCACTCGCCTCCAAAAAAACTCATTTTCAAGAAATATATAAAAACAAAAAAAACTCGCTCGCTCGCCCCATATTTTTTGGAGCTTTTGTCTGAAGATCTATTAATCAAGTAGGTGTGGCCTAATGCAACTATTTTATTAGCTGCTTTTTTTATGCATTTGCATAATGAGAAGTTCCAAGTAAAGTTTGCAGCTTTCTTTTTGATGTCCTTTTAATGAAATCCTTCTTTAAACTGTTGAAGAAACTTCATAGATTTGTTTTAATCTATGTTGTATAACTTGTATCTAACCAGTAGTTTGAAATGATGTTGATGTTTCGTTCTGGTTGATTGTGATTTAAGTAAGGCATTTCTTTCATAACAAAAAAAATTGAAATAGATGAACATGTACATGATTGGTCTGACTTCAGTTTTAATAATGAATTGCAAAACTGGTTTAACCCCACTATACTTTGTTCCAGTACCAAGTTATCTGAACCATGTTGTGTTTGTTGTTGTTGTTGTTTGTGTTTGTTGTTTGTATGTCTTTTTATTTCTATTATTGAGTTTGGGCTTCACATTGTGGTACTATAATTGATCATATATTTTTGTAATTCCTGTTGACCTTTAAAGGTATCATTAATCAAAGTAGTTACATTTCTGTGACTGTAGACTGACTTATAATTGTATTGTAGCCATTGGTTGAGAAAACTGCTGTGGGAAGTAGTGTCTATATAGTACAGACAATCCTGTTTTGTTTTATAACTTCAATTCAATTCAAACTTTATTGTCATATAAATCAACTTGCATGATTTGTGACTAAAACAAACAAAACATAGTATAATATAAATGTATAACAGAATTTGAAAATAAAAAAATCAAATAAAAAATACATTTATGATATTCAACCCTAACAGTAAAAAAAGAAACTTGACTGTTCTAAAATAACAAATTAATCAATGTTGCTTAGACACTTGTATATGTAAACCTACATAAGTATTTCATTTTAGATTTTGTTTTATGAAAGTAATACAAATTTGTTTCCATATATTAATAATTTGAACTCTTGACATAATTTTAAGAATATAGCCTAACATTAGATTAATGATAAATATTGTCATTTTATCCTTATTAGAATTTTGTTTTGATACACTCTAGAAACAGAACATTATCTTCGATTAATTACTTTCATTATTAATGTTGATCTTCCTTATCACCGATGAAAATCATAATTACAATATCACTTCCTGGTTGTTGCTAATACTTTTCTAAAATTTCTTGGAACAAGATTCATATTGAATTTCAAAAACTATGCTTTAGATGTGTTTGTTTTAAGATAAAAATGAATTTTTTGTGCTTGTGAATTTTTTGATTTTATCCTTCTTAAGTGGACTTTATAGAGGCCAGCTGAACCAGTGGGATTTTCTTACTGCATTGAAAACCCATTGGTGGCCTTCGGCTGTTTTCTGCTCTCTTGTGGGGTTGTTGTCTCATTGACACATCCCCTGTTTCCATTCTCAATTTTATTTATAGACCTTACTTTGGGTTGATGGCTTAATAAACTTCTAGACCATGATTTGATCAAAAGTAGAGACCATGTAATGACATTCACAAATTATCTTTCAATTTCTTTGGAATCATATGGTATTTACAAAATATATTTGGATGTTCTATGTAAAGATATTTGTTAATACGTCTTTTTTTTTTTAATCTCTTTTGACTTGCAATAGGTTGTTGTTTTTGTGATTTCCTGTTCTAGAAATATAGCTGCACTCACTTATACAAGTGGAAAGGACAGGATGAGCATAATTATGTTGATTTTCACAATTTTGGTTTGTTTCTTTGATTACAGTTTTCCAGAGGATTTGATATGCCTGGTACACATGTACTTAAAGTAACTGCATTAAACGATATCAGTCAGCAGTCTTCTGATCTGACTGTTGTTGTCCAGTATCCAATTGTACATGTCAAGTTAGCTGCTTCTCCTGTTATCCTTGGAGAACCAACTGTCATCAATGTAAAGGTCAATGGTGGCAGGATTTTTTTTATCCATATTAACTATGGCGATGGTCAGTCAGAAACATTATCATCAGAAAATAAAACTTTAAAGATTACCACAGAACATCCACCAGAAAGAGGCTTGCCAAGATATTTGGTAGCTATTGATCATGTCTACAAGTCAATTGGAGATTATGAGATTACAGCCAATATCTCCAACCTGGTATCATACAAACTACAGACAACTCTATGTACAATACACGAACCAATTATTGTAACAAGTGTTACAACAGATTCACCTATGGTGTTCCCTGTCCCGGAACAAGTCAATGTCACAGTAATGATAGCCTCTGGAAAAGACTTGCAATTTAAATGGGAATTCACTGACCAGGATTACAGCATTGTTTCTAAAGTCAGGTATGAAGACAACTTTTGTCATGATAACTTTTGACACAGGTCATTTTAAAATTGATAATGTAATGGTTAAATGATTTATAAATAGCAGCAGGAGTGTAGGCTTCCATGTTCACTTTAACAGTGCTTGACTTTCATAACCTACATCTTTAAGGCACAATTTAAATCTTTAATTTAGAGATTTACTGAAATCAGAAATTTTGATGCAGAAATGTAATTTATTTCGGGGGATTTTTTGTTGAATGGGATATTTTGTACAAGACCATAAAAGCACCTGGGTTCACCCTTGGATTTCAGTTAGGTTCAAATTACACTCTGGTTTTTGTCTCTCCAGCAAGACTTCAACATGATGTTTCTGGCAATGATAATAATGGCATCAACAATTGTTAAAGTTTGTGGTTATCTCATTGAGTCATGCATTTTCTTTTGCATAGTTTATATAGTTTGTGATAAGTTCAGTTTAAGGGATGCCACTTACAACAACTCAATGAGGGTTGATATTCAGTTGTATAAGCAATGAAACATCTCATTTTTTTAGGATGAGTATTATTTGACCCTCTTAATCATAATCCATTGACTTTGAAATGTTTTGAATAACTTCAGTACATGGTAGACTAATCACTAAGCATATTTGTTTTTAGAAAAGATTGAAAATTAAAAAGATAAGCTTCAAGCAAAGTAGTCCTCCTCAAGTCCATGCCAGAACCCTTCTTGAATTTTCACTTAGGTTTATACCAGTTACATCGTGTCAATTTGATGGAAAAATGTCAGGTGAGCGATACAGGCTCCTCGGAAACCTATAGTTTATTTTTGCTGAAAGAACATTGACCTTTTAACCTTATGAAGGTTTTATATAAGTATGTGTCATAAACTGTCAAGTGATTCTTGGATATTTCCTAAGTAGCTTTTCCTACTTTAATCACGAAATTCATATTGATGATTTAAGTTTTCAAAAAACTTTTAATTTGAGATAATTTATTTTAATATTTTATGTAATCACTGGATGTAACTTAAATAAGAAAAGTGGTTTAGCTTATGTTTTATGGGTACAAATTTAAAGTATTGTTATTTTTAGTTTAAATCTTCATTTCTTGACTTTAGATTTTTCTACATAGTATAAATTATCTTTAACTTGTCACCCAAACAAAAACTTTAACATATCTTGGAATGCTTTGTAGGTTTTTATTTTATTTAGTTCTATGCTTTTAGATGTTGTAAAAAAATATTTCTGTGACACACAAGCTGTGATATTTTGCAAGAAAAATAGATTCTTTCTTAATTAAATTTGTGAATTACAGATTCTTGTTGGTCATCCATAGTTCTATATAAAGAAATCTGTTGATTATTTTGTCTGTTCCTAAATGAATCTATTTGATGGTTATTGTTCTGTAAGAAAACAAGCTAATAACATATGATTTCATTTATGGTAGGGAGAAAATAGCCTTTATGGTTTGGATTGATAGCCATATCAATGTCCGTGTTTCTAAGTGATACTGGGTAATTGATGGAAAATTTCATTATCGGAGTCTTAATTGAGTTTAGTAGACAAGAATTTTATAGAAAAGAGTGTCAGTTTCCGCTAAGTACTGGTCTAATGGAGCCAATTGTATTGACAAAATCATGTTGGCTTTTTAAGAAAGGCTGAATACTATAGAGTTAAGTATTTCAATCAGATGGCTTAAAATGGAAATGAAAGTCAGGATATGAGTGGATGGATGCTTTTAACAGAATATAATAAGAGGCAGTTATGATTTAAAATGAAGCTAGCTGTGTTTGTGGCGTGTTTCATATTGACTAAGTATAGGAACTATTGTCCAATTTAACTCAATCCCTTTTACTTCTGTCAGTTGATGTTAATCTTTCTTTTATTTTTTAGCATCATATACATGTATTTTAAGCTGTTGAAGGGGAAGATCTTTGTGTGGAAAAAGATTTAAAGTATTTTTAATGAAAATTTTCAAAAGTTATATGATTGTTCAAATTGTTATTCCCCTTGGTACAGCCAGAAAGGGGAATAAGTTGACTTGTACTGGTCTCAAGACCAAGTGGTAGAAATACAAGACCATGAAATCTCAAACATTTTCATCTCTCAGTTAGCCAAAATAAAAATTGATGTTGGAAAAAAATGTGAATTTCATGTTTGATTTCTTAATCTTAATAAGGAACTTGGACTTTAAGATAATTTATCAGTGACAAAATTATCAAGACCAAGAAGTCTGACACTGTATTTAAGTCTAGGCTTTTTAAAATCAGAAACAACTAGACCTTAAATATGATTTCCTTTTATATACCATTTATATTGTCCTTGTGGTATTTGAATATTTTTCTCACCTCTTCAGTTTTCAAATGGAATAAAGAAAAACATGTTATAAAAGTGGTATATTTTCCTTAAATGATTGTTATGTGTCCTCTGTGTTCTTGTTTTGGTTTTGTTAATAGAGGAAGAATTAAACATGAAAAGGAACAATTAATAATAATGTTATATAATATCAAACGACAAAATACAGTTTGTTATTGATTAACATTTCATTTTGTTAATTGAAAATGACAGTTTTTGGCCAATATTGTCTCAGTAAGCATACTGTTGATAACTTTACAATCAGTAGATGAACAGCTAACTGTAAAGTCAATGACAGCATAGAAAATAATTGTTGATGATTAATTTGTGATTAATGAATCATGAAATGGAAAGATAAAGCTGTGTTCCAACTTAATGAAAATTAGACAGGACATGTTTCCTACAGTTAATGGAGAGGACAAGTTATGATTTGTTTTTGTCTTTGTACACTTTGGCTTTGTACTCTTAATGAAATTTAGACGCAACGTTTTACAGTAGTAAATGGAAGTCTAATGCAGATATTAATCAGGATCACTTCAAAATGTAATTCCATAAAAATAGAATCCAGTCTAATTCGTTTTTATGTAAAGTTTTGTTACTGGAAACAATCTCTAGAGATTTCTTGGAAATTGAAATCTCGGTGAGATATACAGTTTGGATAAGTTATTTTTTAGTAAATTTTAATTATTTGTCGGCTTTTTGTATCCCTGGTGACCATTTGGTTGTATTATGTTTTAGAATTTTGATAGAGTGTGTGTTAGGAATGATTGATCGTGTTGTCTTGTGTGGGAGGTGAAAAATAAGAGGTGTAGATTGGTTTATTTTAATATTTTATCTAAAAAAAAATCTATGGGAAAATTTACGAGTGTTTTAAAGAGAAGATTATGTGAAAAGAAAATCCAATCTTAATAAAGTTTAATGAATAATATTTGACACTGTAGAAATCAAACTATGTACAGTTATACAGTAGAAATGTTTTAATACAATGTATTTGTGCTAATTTTATCATGATTCAAGCCCATACTCTTTATTACTGCTTTTCTGAAGCACCATTTACCTGCTAATGCTTATATGAATAAATGAAAATGTTGAGAAAATGTCTGAGACAGCAACCTAACAACACAAAAACCAAAAGACTCCTATAGGTATACTCACTGAAGTAAAAGAAAAATAAGTTTTTACACAATATTAGCATTTAGTGGAATAAACAAAAGAGATAATTGAAATGTTTCTTTTGTAGCACAAGCAATACAATTACACACTTTTTTGAATATTCTGGTGATTATGAAGTCACAGTCAAGGTCACCAACCAACTATATAAAGAACCAGTTGTTGCTAAGCTACCAGATAAGTTCAAGGCTGTTGATGAAATAAGTGGTCTGAAGATAATTGAAGCTCATGGTTGGAAGAAAACACTTCTGAAGGGAAGAAAACCAGACTGGTCAACAGAAGAGATTGTATTCAAAGCTTTGTAAGAATTTTAAATCTCTTATTTTTGTATTTTTTTTTTAAATAGATGCGAGGTAAATGCTTCAGGATAAATCAGAGAAAACACAAGGAAATAAAAATAATTTAGTGATCTATTACTTGTAGGTCATTGAAATTAAGCATTATGGTGCAGAATTGTTTGTATGAAAAATTGGTGTGGTTAGAAATTTTAATGGGCTTAATTGTTGTAAGAAATATAAATTACAAGGTTATTTGTCTTGTAAGCACTCTCATGCCTACATTTATTTTCAGATTTTAAGAAATGTTTATGCTGGTTTATATTGGCAATATCTCACTCAATATAAAACTGCAGAAAAATTATTACAAAATCAAGTCTTACTGGATGAAGAGGAAGAATACAATTAATTTAAAAAAAACAATTCAAACAAAATATTAATGGCAAAAGCTTTCTTTTTGAATTTATATTGATAATTTATGAATTATTTTCAGGTGTGAGGTAGGATCTCATGTGACATTCATTTTCCATTTTGGAGATGGACATTCAAAATCAGTAGAAGGAAAGATGAATTATTTATTCTTTCAAATATCTGGAGAAGCTTCACATCAGTATACAACAGGTACTGTATTAATACTGTAATAACATCATCATTTTTAATTGATAATTCTGCTTGTTGACAACATGTTATATGGTATGTTCCATTAGACAACGTGTTATATGGTATGTTCCATTAAAACTGACCATTAGTGCAAGTTTCTTTGTGTGACTTTATATTAATCAAATGATGTATTCAATATTTAAGCTATGATTCCAGTAAACAATTTTATCATGGATATACATGTGACATTTATCACGTAATATTTGTCAGTGGACGCTACACAAAATTTTTTTTTTCTAACAATCAAGTAAACATCATATTTGCATTAAATTATGGATATTGTTTAACAAAATTTACAGTGATAAAACTTGAGAATTCATATTAAAAATAATGGTCCTCTCCTGAATTCATAACTCATGATTCCTTAGCTGTTCTAGTTTTCTGATTTTAAAATGTTTTACCAAAATCTGAGTAAAGTTTCAGACCAAGAGCCTTGCTCCTCTGAGACTAATTTTCCTTAGTTTTAGCAGTAAAAAACACTACATTCATTTACATCAATTGCTAAAGTTTGTACTAGTGTTGTTCCAATGATCGGAAAAAGTCGGAAATCAGTTGGTTGAGCCTGGCGATGTCGATAATCGATTGGGATTTTGTTCAATCGATTGTCGTTATAGTTTCCGGACTTTTAGCATATCAACTTCCGGTACGTTTCTGGTTTGCATTTTACATGCACAGTCAAACAAATTGTAACGAAAAATATCAGTCATAACCCGAATAATGTCAGTCGTTATATTCCGCCGATCTCTTGACTAATCTCTGATTGCTACATTAACCTCGATAGGCTATAGGCCACTAGAGGGCGCAGAATTATTCGAGTTATATCAGTCGATGACAATAACAATGTTAAACATCCTATAATCAAAGACATAACCAATTTCTTTCTTTATAAACACCAGTAAAAGCATTTACTATACAGATTGATTGTATATTATTTAAAATAAATAACTTTTAATGAAATACTTTCTTTCAATTCTGGTACTTGTTACTCGAGAGCGTACATGAAATCATTCTGATTTTAGACAAAATAATTTTTTGCTACATTAGAATGTGGTGCAAATTGCCTTTTAATAATGTTTCATCCATTTGTTGCATCAAAAACGTCATATTCCTTTCCAAATCATATTGCTTGTCAAACATTGTTTATTTTTGTAAATTTTCCCGGTTTGTCTGCCATTGAAATATATGCGAATCACGGATCGGATACGGATAAACTATGTAAGAATTCCGCATTCTTGCAATTATAAGTACTGACGCATGAATGACACAGCTGACAGAAGAATAATGATCACAAAAGTGAAAAATAAGCATTCTACACGAATTAATCCCCTTAGTTAAATGTATATATTTAAATGCAAATGATTGATTAATTTTAAATTTCTTAAATTAAGTTAAATACTTTATATATCTTTATTTAATGAGAAGCATTCAAATTTTTATACACCTATGTTTTTATACGACCACAAAAAAATTTTGCGGTCGTATATTGATATGACGTTGGCGTCGTCGTCATCGTCCGATAGACACATTGGTTTTCGCACTCTAACTTTAGTTTAAGTGAATGGATCTCTATGGAATTTTACCATAAGGTTCAATACCACAAAAGGAAGGTGGGGATTGATTTTGGGGGTTATGGTACCAACAGTTAAGGAATTAGGGGTCAAAAAGGGGCAAAAAATAAGCATTTTTGTAACTTCCAGACATAACTTGTTAGTGTATGGATCTCTCTGACATTGTACCACAAGGTTCCATATCACAAAGGGAATGCTGGGATTGATTTTGATGGTAATTGCCTCCAAATTTTAGGAATTAGGGGCCAAAAAGGGGCAAAAACAAGCATTTTTCTAGTTTCATGACAATAACTTGTGTGTAAGTGTATGGATCTCTCTGACATTGTACCACAAGGTTCCATATCACAAAGGGAATGCTAGGATTGATTTTGGGGGTAATTGCCTCAAAATTTTAGGAATTAGGGGCCAAAAAGGGGCAAAAACAAGCATTTTTCTAGTTTCATGACAATAACTTGTGTGTAAGTGTATGGATCTCTCTGACATTGTACCACAAGGTTCCATATCACAAAGGGAATGCTGGGATTGATTTTGGGGGTAATTGCCTCAAAATTTTAAGAATTAGGGGCCAAAAAGGGGCAAAAAACAAGCATTTTTCTAGTTTCATGACAATAACTTGTGTGTAAGTGTATGGATCTTTATGAAATTGTACTACAAGGTTCCATATCACAAAGGGAAAGCTGGAATTGAGTTTGGGGGTAATTGCCCAAAACGTTTAGGTATAAGGGGCCAAAAAACACATTTTTCTAGTTTCCAGACAATAACTTGTGTTCAAGTGTATGGATCTCTCTGAAATTGTACTGCAAGGTACCATACCACAAAGGGAAGGCTGGGATTGATTTTGGGGGTAATTCCCTCAAAATTTTAGGAATTAGGGGCCATAAAGGGGCAAAAAAACAAGCATTTTTCTAGTATCATGACAATAACTTGTGTGTAAGTGTATAGATCTTTATGAAATTGTACTGCAAGGTTCCATATCACAAAGGGAAAGCTAGGTTTGAGTTTGGGGGTAATTGCCCTAAACGTTTAGGAATTTGGGGCCAAAAGACAAGCATTATCCTAGTTTCCAGACAATAACTTGTGTTCAAGTGTATGGATCTCTCTGAAATTGTACTGCAAGGTACCATACCACAAAGGGAAGGCTGGGATTAAGTTTGGGGTGATGAATCATAAGGGGGTTCAAAAAATTTGGGGGGGGGATTTTTTTTTCATTTTTTTTCTTTAAAATTTTCCATTTTAAATTGGTTATTTCTGATTTATATATAAAAGCAAATAATAATGATATGATTTGAATAGGTAAATTAAAAAAATTTTAAGTTCTTGGACCACTTTCATTCTGTGTGAGAAACCTATGCTGTGTCAAATATTTAATTACAATCCAAATTCAGTGCTGTATAAAGCTTGAATGTTGTGTCCATACTTGCCCCAACTGTTCAGGGTTCGACCTCTGCCGTCGTATCAAGCTGCGCCCCAGCGGAGCATTTTATTGAAATTATAATGTGAGTAATACCATTGAAATTTGGAAATTTTAGTGTCATTGTTGGTAATAAATGTTGTAATTATAAGACAAAATATGTTCAATCTGAATCTGGATTCTAATTGATTCACTGTTTTAATTGCTAAATAAAATATGAAAAGGAAACAAAAGATCAAATATGAACATATAAAACTCTGCAATGATATGGAATATACGCATTAGACATGTACAGTGTGACTAAATGCATGATTTCATTTAAAAAAGGGCAAGGTATAATGATGTGATTATAACCGATAGTCGGTTGGTTACTGTCAACCGATAGCAATAGATAATCGGTTGGTAATTTCAACTGTTTATCCAACACTTGTTGATACAATTCATACAGGCCTTTTAAATTACCCATGTTCCTGCACAATTATTTGTACTATAAGTATGATTTGCTTTTCGTTTCAGAGGGAGTGTATCCAGTGTATGTAACAGCTATCAATCCATTGGGAAATACTACATCATATTTAAAAGAGCCATTTCATGTCCAGAGACCTCCTGCAACACCTAAGTTGAGAGAAAATTATTACATACAATATGGTCAGAATTTCACATTCAAAGTAGAACAAATTGACGATGAAAATATCACATTTGATTGGAAATTTGGTGACCTAACAGATGTTGTCAATAGCAACAGTAAGTTCATGTTCAAATGAAAAAAAATAACACTCAGATCCTCCTTTGACTAAAACCTGCATTTAAAAAAAATGTCAAATTTATTGAACAAGTCGTCTGCTCTTTGGTCGGGTCGTTGTCTCTTTGACCGGGTCGTTGTCTCTTTGACATATTCCCCATTTCCATTCCCAATTTTATTATAAAAATAAGATGTGGTATGATTGCCAATGAAACAAATATCTACCAAAGTTTAAATGAAGTGGATGTAAGCAATTATAAGCAACTGTACGGCCTTCAACAATGAGAAAACCCATACCGTATAGTCGCGGCTATAACAGGCCCAGACATAAAAAATATGAAACAATTCAATTGAGAAAACTAATGGCCTAATTTATTGTTTGCTAAAGTCTGGTTTGAATGATGCTAAATGAAATAGTCTGCCCTGTCTAGGGATAAACAAATTATGTTATTCAGGTTTAATCTCTGTCTCTCTTGTGACAAAGTTTTTATGGTTACCATTTGGCCATTGATTTGAAACTTTTGCATTACATAGTTCACATGTTAAAGTTTTTGATTTTGTCAGTTTAAGGGAACTGCTTTCAATAAATCAGTGTTATTTAATATGCAGTTGTATAAGTATTAGTACATAACATTGTAATGGCGATTATTTTGCCACACCCAGTCAGTCATAGTTGTTTGGCTTTGAAACTTTTGCATAGTTTGCATGTTAAAGTTGATAATTAGGTGAGTTTAAGTGGTACCACTTATAAAAAGATCAATAATATTTGATATGCAGTTGTTTGAGCTTTGGATCATAAACTCGTCATAGATACCAGGCATTAGATTTTTTATGCCAGGCATGCATTTGTCTTCGAAAGACTCGTCAGTGACGCTCAAATAAAGTATGAAGTTTAAGATTCTGATATCAATGAAGACTTTATTGCCCTACATTCTCAGTCATGGTCCTTCGACTTTAAAAATGTACGTGTTGTTTACATGTTAAGATACTGCCATTTAATTTGTATTACATTATTGAAATCACATACAGGGGATGATAAGAAAATAGGAAGTAGGTAGTAAAGTATGGATTTTGTTACATAGATTGAAAATAATTATAAAGATTTAGAATTGATGGGAAAAATGTAATTTAAGGTACAGTATTAATGACTAGATATCATTTAATCATTTATACATTGTATCTTTAGGTTATCATTATTGCTGACACAATATATAATTTTCTCCTGGTATATTTTGATACAAACTTATTATTTTTTAAAGTATAAATATTGAATTGCAGGTTCTGAAATCAGTCATTTGTATCAGAATGCTGGAAGGTATAATTTGGCTGTCATAGCTAATGATAGAGGAATAAAGAATACTGCCAGTGCTAAAGTCTATGTGCAACAAAAAATACAAGGTAACAAAAATTGTTTTGATCTAATGAAAATTTTATGAAATTTGTCTGATAACCAAAATGATTGCTTTTTATAAAATTTACAACAATAACAATATAAAAATCTGTTATAAAAATTGTCATTTGATGACAAATCTCTCAGATGTAAGATTGTAGTTATCTAAATACAGTTTGTTACCAATAAGATATATCTTTCATTATGCTTGTTTGTTAAAAAATCGGAAAAGAAAATTTATTACATAAAACATATTTATCCTTTTTAGGGGTAACTTTAAATATATCCTCCAGTTTAAAAGATGGGCCAGAAGTTGTAACTCTGTCTGCACATGCCTTTCCAAAATACAATGGTTTGGTGAAATACTATAAGTGGAGATTCAATGGTTGGCAGCATGGAAGTTTGAAATCATCTAAAGTCACTACTGATCCTTTTATACAACACACAGATTATACAGAGAGGTAATTTTTTGGTTTACGGAACATAGAATAATACTTTAATTGTTAACCTTGGGCGAAAGTCTTAGAATGCAAGTTCATTTATGTGCTAAAATTTAAACATTTGATAGCAATGATGATGCTAATTATCTTTTATATGGTGCTATTTATAAACAATGTTAACATTTTATTTATATTTCACAGTTTTAGGATGTTAAAATTTTTTGATGTGGCTGCAATAGTTTTTATTCTGTTCATTCAATGTAGGTACACAGTGACAGTTTCTGCTTTTAATAATGTCAGTAATGCTACGTCATCGGCTATTATCTTACCAATCCAAATAAAAAAGTTGAAAATTCTGATGGATGGAGACCCATTAATCAACAGAACTCTTAAATTCAAGATAACTACCTATGGTGGATCTGATATTTCACTGAGATGGAATTTTGGAGATGGTACACCAGTAATTCATGTGAATGATAGTAGCCTTTATGTAAAACATGTTTTTATCAAGTAAGTAACAATCCTGACCATTTGATTTCTAGTGATTGGCTACAATAACCAAATAGTCTTGTTTTATTAAGATGAATTAGAATAAGAAAAAAAATGAATTTACCATAGTTAAGAAGGGTCAGAAGGTATTTTGTTATCACTTTTACAAACTGCAGAACTTTTAAGTCTGAAAAATATATTCTCCTTACTATAAACCTGGAAATATTCAATGCTGTCATATAAATAGATTACATCAAAAATCCTTTTACATTTGAAAATGCTTGAACTCAAAATTAAAATGGTAACACAATAAAACAATTCAAAATTAAAATGGTAGTACAATAAAACTGAATTCAAATTCAGGAAAATAAGATGGCACAAACAAACATTCTCCATATACAATATTAGTTTATAAGATTTGAGGACGTCATGTGACAAAGCTTATTAATAGAAGTTAATCAGACAGGACACTTGCATCTGAAAAAAATCACACTATAAAAGGTTTATAACCAAAATGTGTCGTGGTTTTGAAAAGGACAAATTATTATAGACATGTTCCCACTAATGTTACTTTGCTACTGGCCATTATTTTCTTAATACATCATAATTATATTTCCTTCTTCATTGCATGATCTAATTTATAGAGCAGCTAACTCATTGTTATCAAATAACCACATTTCATAGGTTATAATTTAATATTTGTCCTTTGGGAGAAAATGCAACATTTTGATGGCAAAATTCATATACTGTATAATTGCTTTACCAGTGAGGATAAAGCTACTTTTACTATATAATTTAGAATTTGGCTTTTCAAATTGGAAATATTTTGTTTCATTGAAATGTTTATCTAATCTTTAGTTGCATATGAAATTTCTGGAAAGTTATCATGTACTCCTTGGTTAAAAAAACTTATTTCTGAAAGTGTAATAATTTAAGAAATACCACTGCAACATTTACTTTTTGATTTTCAGAGAAGGAGTGTACAATGTGACAGTATTAGCATCCAATTCTATCAGCCATGCCAGTGAAAGTAAACAGTTGTTTGTCCTGGATAGGAAATGTTTCCCACCAGAAATATCTGTACATGGTCAAAATATAACACTAACAACAGTATGTGTCAACTAGGTTCAATAAAAAGAGATCTGAAACATAAATGAGACATTGACCCCACAATAAAAGACAATATATTGAACATCTAGTGTTTGTAATATAGATTTTTGACAGTAATTAGGCATCCATCTAAATATTTACCTATAGAAGGGACAAACAAAAGGCAATGAAAGAATTTATCTTATAATTTCTTTCAATGTTGAGCCTTTTTGTGTTTGATTTAAAATTTGATGATTTTTCCTGTAGTATTTTATTTGTTAGTAAATGTTGTTTTTGGATGCAGATTATATGTATGAAGTATATAAGCAAAACAAAAAAAGACATCAAAGAAAAACCAGGTTCCTGCAGGGAGATTACAAGATGGTAGGGTTAAGACACCAGTGATAAATCAATCTAGTACAATGCTGTTGGCTAATGTACTGCACCTAAAACTTTGAGTCAGTGTGTGTGATGATATAATCACCAAACTAATGTTTTCAGGGTTAAATCAGGATAAAGACTTTTTATCTTTTGTATGTTATGTACATTTCTGTAAATGATTATAAAAATTGAACTAGAAGGTGACCCATTACCCTTTTTATGCCTAAGTCCTAATTTGACACACCATCCTTAATTATGAATGTTCCTGATAAGCTACATCTACACAATTTGGTTCAATTACATGTATTGATAATTTATTCAAAGACCAGGAATACTGACATTGTAAGTTCAAAATTATCTGTCATTGGGAGTAAATAGGTCATAATTAGTCGAGGACAGCTTGAGTTTAAACAATCCTTTTAGTGACTGAGTTTATTTGTCTTTAAATTGTAGATAAATAAGTCCCAGCAGTTACGTTTTGAAGTAGAAATGGCTATACCTGTGTGTGAGAACACAACAATCCATGCTGAGTATAGTTGGAGGTTGTATAACAGCTCTGATAACCAACTCGTACAACTTGAACATGTGGCTAGAAATACATTCCACCAGAAGATATTGATGATACCGCCTTGCATATTAGAAGGTGGAAAATATCAGTTGGAAGTTAAGGTATGGTGAATTTCATGTCAAAATTTAAGTCATTGTATAATGAGGGTTATTAAGTGATGTGAAAGAAAAGTTTCAGTTTATCAGTTATTGTGAATGTCCAGTTTACTGAATATATGTGCATTACCTTGCAACTCACAAATTGTAAATGTTGCAACCAATTAGCAGGTGTCTAGAAATGTAGGAGGAAAATTTATAGAAATGCTTCATTAAGTCCATTGATTTCGAAAGACTGCATACAACTTAATGCATTCAACTTAATGCATTCAACTTGTTAAACCAAGTTTGAAAATTATTCTTGGAATTTTCGTCTTCAATAATAACTTTCTGCTAATAACTTTTAACTGCTAAATGTGTATTCCATTAAAATGTATGTGGGAGGGTAGGAAGGGACTTTCAAAATATCCCTACAACCAAGAACCATTTTTATACGCCCGTTTACGGGACGTATTATGGTATACCGTTGTACGTCCGTCTGTCCGTCTGTCCGTCCGTCTGTCGTCAACATGTCGGACATTAACTCAAAAACACTTTTACCAATTTGCTTAAAACTTTGGTGAATTGTTTATATCTAAAAGGGATTTTCCAGTTTTCGGACAATAACTCAAGAATGCTTTCACCAACTTGCAAGAAATTTTGGTTAATTGTTTATATCTATTGACATGAGCTCCCTTTAGATTTTTATAAATTTTAAATTTTACGTTTCCGAGTTATTGGGTTTTATTCATAAAAAAAAGGGTGATTTTCCAGTTTTCGGACAATAACTCAAAAATGCTTTCAGCAGTTCTCATGAAACTTTGATGAATTGTTGATATCTATTGATGTAAGCTTCCTTAAGAATTTTATAAATTTTAGATTTTACATTTTCCGAATTATGGGGTTTATTCATTAAAAAAGGGGGGATTTTCCAATTTTCAGACAAAAACTCAAAAAAGCTTTCAGCAATTCGTATGAAACTTTGGTAAACTGTTTATATCTATTGGTGTAAGCTCCCTTTTGAATTTTATAAATTTTATTTGTTTATAGTCTGACAACAGATTTACTAAGTATTGCGCAACAGCACAGTGTATTGCACAACAGCAAGAAATCTTTAATTGAATATAAATTCAATTCATATAACCAACTTCAAGTTCTTTGACTACATTTATTCAGAAACCTATAATAGATGTATGTCAAATATTTAATTACAATCCAAATTCAGACCTGTATCAAGCTTGAATATTGTGTCCATTTTTGCCCCAACTGTTCAGGGTTAGACCTCTGCGGGCGTATCCAGCTGCGCTCAGCGAAGCAGTTTATTTAGATAATTTTGGTAATAGATTCATACTGAAAAAAGACCAATGACCAACATTCAATAATTAAACTTCCCTTCCTGCCCTCCCACATACATTTTAATGGAATAGCTCTTACATGAGACAAAAAAGAAATGTAGTGTAGAATTAAGCCTTTGATTCATTAGAAGCCTTTTGCCCTTAAAATAACTATATGATATGTTCTTCTGATTTAGGTACAAATAAAAGATACTATTGTATACAGAAAGAAAACTATGGCTGTAGAAGTCCTTCAGAGTCCTTTGTCAGCTGTTATCAAAGGTGGTATTGTAAGGGAGATAACTCGTCATGATACTGTTCTGTTGGATGGTTCCCTGTCTGGTGATGTAGATTGTACTGACAATGGTCAGTTAAGGTAAGCTGTAAAAGCAATTTTCATTTATTTTATGAATCATTTGCATTTAAGAAAACTATAAAGAGGCGAGAGTTCTGATTTTATCCAACAAAAAACCTTGTAAAACTGATGTATTGTACAAGATAAAAACAATGATGATCAAGACAATACTGTTGTTAGGTCATTAAAGATGGCATATTTTGGTATTAATATTGATTCACTCATAGGGTCTTTGCATCGGAAGTAAACACATTTATTCTAAAACCAGTTATTGGCATGATACAGGTTATGTTCTTCTCATATATTTTATGATGGTATGATACTAAACCCCTAACGGGAGGGATTGTGCTTGATTTTCATATGATGAAGACATAATCTTTCAATCAGTTTCATTGAGGTCTGGAGCTGGCATGTCAGTGACTGCTAGTAGTCCTGTGTTAATTTATGTATCATTGTCATTTTGCTTAGTTTCTTTTGTTACCTATTCTGACATGTGTCTGTCCCAAGTCAGGAGCCTGAAGTTCAGTTGTTGTCGTTGGTTCACGTCTATCATATTTGTTTTTCATAAATTGTTTTGTTATAAATTAGGCCATTAGTTTTCCTAATAGAATTGTTTCATAATTTTTATGTCAGGGCTTTTTATAAGCAACTATACAGTATGGGTTTTTCTCATTGTTGAAGGCTGTACGGTTGCCTATAATTGCTTACATCCACTTTATTTGAACTTTGGTGGATAGTTGTCTCATTGGCAATCATACCACATCTCCTTATTTTTATATTGAGCAAACATCTATACAAACAAAGCAAGCAAGCCAACCAAACCTTCAAACTACATGCATTAGGAAAATAGCTCTAAATGTGAGTTTTACTGTGTGTATTGCTGTGTGTTTGTTTATTCTACATTGGCTAGAGGTATAGGGGGAGGGTTGAGATCTCACAAAAACTTGTTTAAACCCGCGGCATTTTTGCGCCTGTCCCAAGTCAGGAGCCTCTGGCCTTTGTTAGTCTTGTATGTTTTTTAATTTTAGTTCATTTATATGTTTTTGAGTTTAGTGTGACATCCATTTTCATTGAACTAGTACACATTTTTGTTTAAGTACCAGCTGAAGCCCGCCTCCGGGTGTGGGATTTTCTCGCTGTGTTGAAGACCCAATGGTGGCCATCGGCTGTTTTCTGCTCTTTGGTCGAGTTGTTGTCTCCTTGACACGTACCCCATTTCCATTTTCAATTTTACCGTAAGAACTAACCACTTAAAAGTAATTGTAATCTTGTAATTTTACAGACTAAATGAGGAGTATTCCTAGGGAATGCTTTCAAGGAAAAATCATTAGTGAATTAGATATTATACTGATTATTTCCATGTGGTGGTTGGTTTGTAAAGGAGATCTATAGTCACTGAATATCTTAGAAGAATGATAATCTGTTTCTTGAGCACATCTTGAATAGTTATATAGGGTATACAAAACCTTCACCGTGATTATCCAATTTACACTTAGAAATTTATACAAAAATTTGTCTTACCAATCGTTCAAAAAACAGGAAGATAGATTAGAATGATGTTTACTTCTTTCTAGGTACAAATGGACTTGCTCCAGAAACTTTGATGATGCTTCAGAATCCTGTTTTAAAGATAACATCACTGATGTAGTGACATTTAACCAGTCTGTAGTTGTATTTCCAGCAGAATATTTTGTTTCTACACTCATTGAAGTTGTCATTAATTTGACAGTATGGAGAGATGACAAAAATCCACAGAGTACTTTCCAAGTTATAAAGATCAATGACAAGCCTAGATCTATGATGTAAGTATGGCTGAATATGGTTTATTTCTGGATTTCTTACTTTTATGAAAACATTTTATGTTATTCTAAAAAAAAGCTAGCATCCAAAGGTACTATTAGGGTTTGTCAGTTGGCTCTCTTGTGTTCAATTCAAACTAATTTCAGTGTTTTGTTTGCTTAATGTCAAGTGAGAATTTAGAAATATTTCATGCATATTCTGTATGACCTATATCAATGTGAATTCTGTATGAAAATTCATCAAGGATACCACACTTATTAAGTTGGTACACCATACCCAGGTTCCATCTTCATAAGACAGTGGTACATGAATTAAAACAGTTTGAAGCCCAAACCAAACACTATATTGAAGAGCATTGAAAACCGAAAATCTGCTAAATTTGCTAAATCAATAAATGCATGGGGTAGAAAACCATAGTGTTTCAAATTATTCAACATGTTTTAATCAGTAAATATATAGAAAATGACCGTATCAATGATATATGATACCAACACAGGAGTGATGACTTGATACTCTTAGTGATGGAACGTCTACCTGCTGCAAAGTTGTCATTGTTGTTTGGGGTAGATAATAAGGAAAAATGTGTATATTTAGAATGAGGCAATTTTTATATGACCGTCACAACTATTTTATGTCCAAGTTGGAGACATACACCACTGAAAAGATTGCAGAATTAGAGATTGGTTATTGAATGATTGAAAGATGACTTTTAGGTCATATCAGAGTAAAAAAAAATACATATTGTAGGGAAGAGAGTTGGTGTTGTGTTTGGAGTGTAGAGCTGAGACATCTCTATGAACATTTTTTTATTATTTATGAAATTTTGCATTTGATGGTCATTTAGCTGTTTCACTCATAAAATGTCATATCTATATGTATGAAAAAGATATTTGAATAAATTTCTTATATATTACAATCAATGGCAAATCCTTCTTTGTTTATTTCACAGGCTGAGTATTTATTGTCCACAGTGTGAGAAGCATAGAATAAATGTGAATGAACGCCTTTTACTCCAAGCTGTGTGTCAAGGATGTCCAGAGAATGATACACAATACAAATGGACCACACATTTTGTTTATCAGAGATACTATCCCCGTCAAGACCCTGTTGTTTGTTTGATAAAGAGAGCTGATGGGTCCAGCTTTAATTTGATGGTTTTAGAAAATGAAACAGTATCAGAGAATGACACTTACAAAGATATGTACATACCAGAGACTAGAGCCCGCGACAGTCAACTGTTAGGAAATAATTCAGTGATTAATAAATCCTTGTTTGATGTGAATAGTAAGATCATCTGATTACATACACAATATACATATAGCTAAAAAAGACATACTGTAAATTCAGAAATTATTGTGAAATTTTTATTAATATGAATAATGCAACTGGATGAGTATCACAATAATAAGAACCTGATATCTGATACATATAGCTGTATAAAGCTTTTCCTAAAATCACAAAAATTTATCTCATATTTTTGTTCAGTCTTAAAAAAATGCAATAATTTCTGAATTTACAGTGAGACGTTGAAATTTTATTGTGGAGTTGCCTTTGACACTCATGATACAATGCTTATATCAAATAATGATGTAGAAACGAAAAGGTTCATAAAGTCAAGAATAGTTGAGTCTCGAAACTATAATATTTATTTATCAGCTAAAAAGATCAGTCTGTCTGTATAGCTCATGGAGCATTCAATAAATCAAAATATGATCACACATCTAAAGTCATAAATACAAAAAGAGTGATATTTTAATCTTTTAATTGATTTACAGACACAGTAAGAAGAAAAAGACAGTCCCCTTTTGATCTTCCTACCACACCAATGTATCCTACCATTAGGAAAAGCCCAAGATTTGAGATACCATTTGGCATACCAAGTAAGTGTATGAAACTAAATCAAGGGACAATTTGAAAAAATTTACTTCAACCTGAATATTTATGCTGCACAATTGGAGCATACCTGTAAAGACATATCAGGGACCTACCATGTGTCCAGGAAATAACTTTAATGTTGTTTTTCACACAAAATTGATCTTATATTAAAGAAACACATCAAAAGTAAATGTTGTGATGTTTTAATATTTTACTTGCTTGGATAGCATAAAACGGTCTGCAATCATTTGCAAATATGATTATTCCTTCTTGGCATGTGTATTCTGTTTATTAAGAGAAATGATATCAACAAACTAAACATGTCACCCACTCAAAAGCAATGAATTGATACTTTGCATCAAAAATCACTTTTGGAGGCAAGTGAGACTCACATTACTGGAAATTTGCTGAAATATTCACATCATTAATGCAAAAGTACTTTTGAGTTTGGTTTATAGAGATATTACTTTTGAACTACTGTATAAAAAAATTATAAAAAAATCATTCAAATGGACAATTTTTTTATTAAAATAAATGTGTGTTATTGGAATAATATAATTGTGACTGAGGATTTAATTCATAAGAAAAAAGTATTCTAGTATTGAAGGTCAATGCAGAAGCACGTCAATATCTGGATATTTGTTGGCTTCTTATGAGTAGTCAATATAGAATGATAAACAGAAACAATAGAATGTGGCAAAAGGATTTTGTAAATGTTTACTAATATTTTATTTCGTGTTTTCAGGAAGTAGATCCAGTTATAGTAGAAGAGGTCGAACACACTACAGTGCTAACACTCCTAACGCTCCTTACAATGCCTTTCATTTATTAGGTATATTTAATGACATTAGGCCAGACTTAAAAATATTTCTGTTTGACCAAACCCTACCCACCAGTCTCAGGTGTGGGTAGGTAGATAGGGATTTTTTTTTTTTTTTTTTATACTTTAAGAGAAAAATAAGGATAAGGGTCAAAATTATTTTACCTTGTAAACAACTTTTACAATGAAAGCTTAAGACTACTATGGAGTTTTGTACAAATTGTCAGACACATATATGCGTAAAATTGAGAATGGAAATGGGGAATATGTCAAAGAGACAACAACCCGACCAAAGAGCAGACAACAGCTGAAGGCCACCAATGGGTCTTCAAGGCAGCGACAAAATCCCGCACCCAAAGGTGGTCCTCAGCTGGCCCCAAAATAAAATTGTGTATTAGTTCAGTGAAAATGGATGTCACACTTAACTCTAAAACATATAAATGAACTAAAATTAAAAAAACATACAAGACTAACCTACTAATAAAGGCCAGAGGCTCCTGACTTGGAACAGGCGCAAAAATAAGGTAGGGTAAAACTCAATTTAAAAAAAGTCAGAGTCCGATGTCTGAATAGGTAACAAAAGAAACTAAACAAAACGGCAATGATACATAAATTAACAAACAAAGGACTACTAGCAGGTACTGACATGCCAGCTCCAGGCCTCAATTAAACTGATCAAAAGAGGATGTCTTCATCATATGAAAATCAAGTACAATCCCTCCCGTAAGGTGTTTAGTATCAAAAATTATCATACCATCATAAAATATATGAGAAGAACATAACCCTAATCATGCCATAACTGGTTTTAAACTGTATCTATTTACAACAAATGCAGCAACTTATTAATGCCGAATCAAATTCCTGAACACTTGGATTGGTTCCTCAAAATCGGGCTCAAATGAGTGTCCCGATCAATCAGAGACAGTCACACAAATTTCATCAGTTTTCCGCAGCATGAAATCGTCATCACACACTTCATCAAACACCTCTTTCCATGTTTTTGTGTTTTCAAAACGATAGATTTTGTTGGAAATTACGGGTTTTGATTTTAATCCAAACGAGACGGTTACATGTTGTTTTTCATCTGTATCAATTAGAGGCTTTTATACATAACACAAATTGTCCTGTGATAAAGCGCGGTCAGACCGGATCAGGTTATTCTATGCAACAAATTCGAGACGGATACGGATACGAAAAAAATCCGCAAAAAAAAAAAAAAAATCGTGAATTTTGAATAAAAAAAGATTTTGACTCAGGTGCTTTTTTATGGGTCTGTCGGGTTAGGGCAAACCAACCATTCTTTTTTATGGCCGTAAGGTCTTGGAACACTCTACAATGCTAACAAGTTCCATAAAAACATACATAGGACCCAGGGAAGGTACTTCCAAATCTCAACAATGCTCATTACAATGCAAATATTAGGTATAACTGCTGTCTTATTCATAGTACTAAGACTAAACATAGTAATGGTTATACAAAAAATTTTTAAATAATAATTGCTGTTCATCCTTTAAGCATGCAGCATTTGGGGATTCCAAAAAATGTACTTGGATAAATTTTTATTTTACCTTGTGATGTAGCATTTAAAAAAAAAAACTTGCTCTGCATTTAGATCTTCTTCAAGCAAGAGTATTTTTATGTGGCAGTAATTTGTAACCTGATACATAGTTATACCGATGTCTGTCCTGTCATCCATGCTTCTATAGTGGATGTAATTATAATTTTTTCAACACTGTAATGCATTATTTCTGGAACTGTCATCAGAAATCTTGAATGATGTATATTTTAGGTACAGGAATAGTAGGATTGGAAGAAGGAACTCCAACGAACTCTAGACATAAAGACAGACCATCTTATGTGGAACCAGGTAAACTTAACTTGCATTATGAGAATTTTCGAATGATTGAATGGAATCAAATATGATATACTAATGCGGCAAAAAAACTATATGGGTTTAAATTACCTGAGACAAAATGTTTTAGAAATTACTGAAAAATTGCTTTGTTTCATGGGAACAAGGTGGGTGAACTGATTAAATAATTTTAGATCACAAACACTGTTAAATGAAGTTTTAACATTGACTTGTGCACAAACACTAGACGAATGTTCTCTTGTGCACAAACACTAGACATTTGTTATTACATGAGGTGCATCCCCACTAAACACAAGAACACATTTTACTACATTCTTTGACATTATAAGACATTTCATATTTGAGGAAAGGGATTTATATATTTTATGTTTACTGGAAGTTTATTCTATAAATGTCTTCAAATTGATTTAGAGGTGTTTTTTAATGTACAATGTATTTTGTAGCCCTTACAGAAATTCATTGCTTGAAACAAAAAATGTAGCATAACACAAGAATTTGACAGATGTTAGAAAATTTGTGTCATTTATAAAAGCACTGACCTGCAATATGTTTATGTATAATCGTTATGTCTATAATATATTAAGTTAGATTGTTTTTTATAGGAGTGGATCATGGAAATATAGATAGAGTGTACAATCAGCAGAGCCAATTACCTGCAAGAAAGGTTCATATCCTAGAAAAGTCCAGTCGACGTGCCTACCTGTTTGATGAACAGACTACTACAGGCACACATAAACAATCCCTTGTCATTAAACCAGACTTCTTCAGACAGGGCTTAGAATACATTATCAAAGTTCAGGCTAAAACGAAAGGTTAGTATTCCCTTAAAGGACCGTTTTAGACAAAGGTCAGTATAAATCACAGAATTTCAGGCTATAATGAAAGGAAAAGTAGACAACCTAATTCCTAAACAGTCTTGCCTATAATTGCTAACATCCATGTATAGTTGTCTCATTAGCAATCATACCATTTCATTATTGTTATATAGTACAAGTCCTTCCAATGATTTTATTTAAATTTTTTTTAAACAAATCTGCTTGCTTGAATATGATTCATTAAAACTTTTTCTTTTAAAATTATTTGAAAAATAATGTCACTTGCTAGAAGAAAATTGTTTTGCCTCTGAAAAATCAAATTTTTGGGAAAAAAGTAAAAATTTGCTAACTTGCTTCTATTTTTCAACAGTAGGAGTCTGACGAAATAGGGATTAATTTGATGTGGCCTTGTGTTAACTTTTCAAAATAAGCCAAAGTCACGGAATATCAAAATGTGATTGTAGTGCATGGTTTCCTCGTTACACATATTCTTGTTTAATTTCTTTGTATAGCACTTTTCAGTAGGGCATTCATGAAAGGTGAATTTTAGCCCAATTAGATATCCAATTACTGTCTCATTGACATTTACTCAACATCTCCATTTTGTTCATAGAATTAAAAAACCACCATATTTATACAAACCAAAAATTGGTATTCAGATTATTATGGAATAAGTTCGGAGAACAAGACTGTATAACAGTGTAGCTTTACAGCAATTAACCAGTCATATTCCCCAGGAATTGAAATGTTCTTGTATTCAGTTATAATTTTGGAGTCCATGGACGTCTTAGGAAATGACTGATTTATTTATTGAGGAAATACAAATGTCCAGGGTAAACTACCAGTTCTCTGTCTGTTAGCGCTAAACTACACTGGTCAATTAAGTACACCATTCCATTTTATCTAATGGCTGGATGGTGTCTCATACACTAAATGTTGGACAGGTTTAAATTTCAAGCTTTGATTTAAGATCTATGAGGAAGGTTAATGTATTACAGTGGTTGATTATTTATATGAGGTCATTAAATAGAATGCTATTAATGGTATTATGTGAGAGTTTTAAGTTGAATAAGTTATTTGAAATAAATAAAATGAACAAATGCATTTTGTTTGAAAATACATCTGACAGAAATGAGCTGTGAATTGTTTTAAATATTGAAATGCTTCATGTAGATTGTGTATTGATGATCATTCTGTTCAGGTAGAAGAAGTACAATCTATATTGATTAATTTAGAGAATGTTAACTTGCTTTGTGTCGTATTTTTACAGTGTTTTCATTTGCCTTTTAATTCTATTCAGTTGCTGGAATTCATTTCCTTCAAACATTTAATTGAATTAGGATTCTTCATCCATAATTAATGTCCTATTGTACTTAAAGTGGTATGAATTAGCTGAATGGATGGTTTTCATGTTATTTTTACATTCCTGAGGCTAGGAACAATCAGTCCAGTAGTGAAGTGATTTGCTATTGTTACAACTGTTCTGATTGCCTTTTATTGCCAAAATAGATTGCCGATTTTTTTCTTTTTGTCATTTATATTTTAATTAATTTTCTCATCAAACCAATGCTTATCTTGTGGAAGTTATTTATTTCATCAAGTCTGCATGTAATGGTTTTCATAAACTGATGCTTCTTGGACAGATATGTATCTAAAGATTTGCTGATGAAGTAGTTTGACTCAAAAATTTCAAATTGATTAGTCTAGCACTTACCTTGAGTCAGTACACAGAAATAGCATGTTCCTTTATGATATGAGTATAAGATAAGGACTTGCTTGATTAATATGTTGTATGTTGCACACACTTAAATTTAACTCTCTTGAGCTATCATAGAATAAATAGTTTTTGTACAAAATATTTCTATATTACGTCGATTTGTTAGTGCACAGTGGTTTAAGACCATGACTAGTATGTTGTATGTTGTAACTGTATTTCAACAAAACAGTAGTACTGTGAATTCATTTTTATTCGTGAGATACTAATTTTCATGTGTATATGAGAACCACAAATTTAAATTTTCAGAAGAAGTACAAATTTTCTATCAGCTATTATTCAAACCTGGTAAAACCACGAAATCAAATATCCACAAAAATACGATTTTCCTTCCATCCACAAAAATTGGTATCCACAAAGATAAAGGAATCCACAGTACCTGAATAAATTTTCATATTTCAAGCTGAGTTTGTTGAAGAGTTTGATGGAAAAAATTCTAATGTAGATACTGTAAGTAAAATTGCCAAAAAAATATTATAAAAGTTTAGATATCAGGCCTGAAGCTTTTGGTCTATAATTAGGTATACTTGTGTTTCAGATGGAAGTATATTAGGGACAGCCATGACAACTTTCTCTATAAACTCTGGGCCATCTAAAGGAGAATGTGAGATTATTCCAGATACTGGTACAGAAATAATAACAGAATTTAAGCTTTATTGTAAGGCTTGGCAAGATCAGGTATACATTTACAATGTTATTGTTATCATATTTTAATGATGGTACATGCCAAATTTAGGTTTCCATTCTTAGAATTTTTTTGTGACCCGAAATTATAAATGAAAAACAATGTTCTTGTTTAAGTGGCCAAAAATTATGAAATTCCAAGCCTTTTTTCCAAGTTTTAGAATATTCAATTTAAAAGGAGTAAATTCCAGAACAGTTAAAATTGGCCCTAAGATTTTGATGTTTTTTTCAATCCGACCAAAATACTACAAATTTCACATAGAAGTAGTTGTGATATAACTAATATTACAAAATAACTTCTTTTTGGCACATCACATTAAAAGTGAAGAAGAAATGAACCCTCAAGTATGCATTATTTCTGTTGTAATGTCAGTTTTGGTCAAATTTTCAATAATTCTTCACAATTTTTAACATAATTTACTTTGACCGCCGCCCTTGATCCAGAAAGTTTTTTTTGTCTAGGGATTCAATATCATCATTGGCAACTTTTTTTCTACAGAACATTTTGGATCCTAGGTGGCGGCCAAGGGTTTCCTCAAGCGTATAGATCGGAAAATTGCACAAAATTATCGTTTTTTGACAATATATCCAAAATATGCTGACTTTGAAGCCTAGAATGTACTCTTATGAAGAGATTTGTTAAACCTAGTAGTAAGGGCTTTTGAAATGGACCTATTTAAGAACCAGTTTATGGCCATTTCGAAATTTTATGACAAAGTTGAAATTCAAGGCCATATTTGGCCTAAAGTGAACCTTGTCCTTTATAGCTTACCTCTTTTATATCATGATAAAGTGTGTTAATGGTCTTATTTGGACTATACGATGAAATACTATAAAATTACATGAAATGCATCATTAGATAAATTAGACCATTCAATGACAATTTAAACTAAATAATAGTCTCATCACACCTCCTTTAATTTCTTTGTCTTAGATTTGAAATGGTTAAGAAGTGTGGATGTCGAGTTAAATTTACTAGCAGTTTTGTTTTTTAACAAGGTAGAACAATTAATAGTAGCCCATCTTCACCGATTTTTGTTTAATTTGGTGTTGCCTTAGTAGTGAGTACTTATCCAGCAAGACAATTTTTTTAATCTGAAATATTCAAGATTTTGAGGCAATTTTATATATCTTGAACACAACTTTTATGGATAAAATTCTTGGTTTTAGTAATATTGACTAAAAAAGCATTACGTTTGAAATGTAATACGGTTGTGAAACACCAATTCCTGATGAATTATTTAAACAAAAGTACATAAAACTGCTAGTTTTTCCATAATAACTCAAAAGTTAATATCATTGAATTGAATTATTTATACCTATATATAGAATCTGCTATATAGTATATGTACATTAAATTATTTATTCCTAGGACAAGCCAATCCAATATGAAGTAAGTTACAGCTTTGATGAAGATGGAATTAAATATATAATATACAGAGGCTTGCGACATGATGTTAACTTCACACTGCCAGCTGGTGATGTGTCTCAAAACCATAAAGGTAAGATCCTTTATTTTGTTTTTAAACAAGCCACTGTGCCTTTTGCTGCTAGACTATGGCGATTCTTACTTGGATTTATTAAGACGAAGAGACCATAGAGAAGTAGTGATTGTTTTGCAACAAAAACACTTGGCCTACTTCTCTGTGGATATTTTGAATGCTTTACAGTAGTTTGTGTAGTGAAATTAAGTTTCAGAACAGAATCACAATTAATAATGATTAGCTTAAAAATATGTTTGAACCCTTTAATGGAGAAAATTCAATCTCAGTTTTACAAAATGGAGAACAAAGTTAGAAGTGGCAACTATTCACAAGATTACTGAAATGTTTTCTATGCTCTATCTAGAATACACATTCTGCTCTAATAAGATCTGCAATATGACTGTTTTTAAATCAGACTTTCAGATGTTTACTTACATTGCTGAGTTCCATCTTTTGAAACTTTTGAGACATTTCCTGGTTATATTACACTAAAGATGGACTGATTTTCAATAAAGAATTCAAATCCATAATACTGGTTAGCTGAGGGCTCTTTATGTGAAGTCATTCTGGTATGAACCATTCAAACCTGCATTGTGAAAAGAACATAAGAAATTATTCAGGGCTCTCAAATCTACATACAGAAGTACTATAGGTATTAGGTTGCCTGTCTTTCTGTTACAAAAAGTTTCCAATCTGTTAATTGTTACTTGCTTTAACTTAGAAATGATGGTACTTAGTATAAAAATAGGAAAATGTGGTATGATTGCCAATGAGTCAACTATCCACCAAAGTTCAAATAAAGTGGATGTAAGAAATTATAGGCATCTGTATGGCCTTCAATAATGAGAAAAACCCATACTGTATAGTCAGCTATAAAAGGCCACGACATGAAAAATGTGAAACAATTCAATTTAGAAAACTAATGGTTTAATTTATAACAAAATAATTTATGAAGAACAAATATGACAGACATGAACCAACGACAACCATGATTGTTTATACTATTAGATTGTGTTGTTCATATATGGGTCACATATATATATTTCTCTAATTCTTCGTCAATTTATCACTTTCTGCACCCATTGTATAAAAAAAATTTAATCAACGTGTGGTTCGTTTGATCTCAGTTCTTCATTGGTTAAAATCCGATTATGACGTCGAATTTTCTTGCTTTCCTCTGAATTTCCTATTGTGACGGCATGAAAAAAGGCGACCATGCCTGATGACGTCACATAGAAAGAACACATCTTTTTGCAGATCATTCAAAAAGAAGGAATAAGCTTGCCTGCATATTGTTTGAAAATCATTAGAGAAACAGATTCCACCACCAAATCTCGTGTAATACGATATTTATCCACTCTCGACAGTTAAATTTTAAATATTTAACTGTCTCGAGTGGATAAATATCGTATCACACTCGATGCAGTGGTAGAATCTATATGTATATACACTTAAATTAATAGAGTGTAATTAGGATCCATGTGATCTGCAGAAGTGAACCAAAACTTCCTCACACTTTAATATTTCAGGAATTGCAAGATTATTTATAAGATAAAGATAAAGATATTTTATTTTTCCAAATTAGGTCCCCAGGAGGGCGTATACAAATATAATCTTTTACAACATACAATATTTTTACATGGCATTCATATAATAAACCTAAATATTGATGTAGAGTGATACAGGCTATTATATGTTCAAATATTAGTAGTAAAGTATTTAAGGGTTGCTACTCTAGACTTGTCCTTCTGTCCTTCAGTTTGTCTAGCAAATATTTTAAACATACTCTTCTCAGAAATGACTGAACAGAATTTCTTCAGATTTGGTCAGCAGGTTGACAGTGATGAGTTGTAATGTAAGAGCACTTTTCAGATCTGTCAGATACCTTTTTCCTGTTTGTCAATACTTTGAATTTTTCAATATATTGAATGAACTTCCAAAATTTCTGTCATCTATCTCTCCCAATACTATTGAAAGGAATGACTTCATTTTCAACCAGCAGCTCAACAATAAAGAGATACAATCTATGTAAACTTTTCCAATCTGTCAGACACCTACTTCCTGTTTACAGATACTTTGAATTACCAGTGGGATTTACAATAAAAATTAAGTTAAAAAACAATGTACATTATGCACTTTTGCAAGAAAATTCTTTTTTTAATATTCCTGTGTTCATGTTTAGATTCAAACTGACGGAAAGAAAAACATTTTTAAGTAGTCTGGAGTGTGAAGATGCTGATTAAATATCAAGCCTAATTCTTCAGCTAAACTGCCATTTAATGTTTTATTTGATTTGAAATTAAATTGAAGTTGCCTAAGATTTCATCAAATGCTAAGCCGATTTTCATCTTCTATAATTGGACTGTACAGTAAAATAGGCATTTATTAATAGAATCTCGGCATACCCTCGACAATCAAATTGGTTCTGCTTGTGTCATTTATTGATATTAACAAATCTTATTAATTTTCTTCTGTGTTTTCCTCACGTCCAAGTTGTATTAGGGGCTCAAGAGCTTGTAAAAGATATTGAAGAATACTATTTCGTATGAATGTGGATATAGAAAGGCATAGAAATTCTTACAAGTTTTGTGTTCAGATGAGTATAAATGATAATAAAATACCATTTAGCACAATATGTCAAAGTAAAGAGATGATTTGTGCTATAGGGCTATATTTCTATTCATCATTCTTGTCTTAAGAACTGGCATGCACTAAGGGAACAGCATTTTACCAGTTTAAAAAGTATGAACTAAGAATGAAAACTGTATATTGCATGCAAACTGCAGTTGCATGCATTTTATATTTCTGCATACCCAGATTAGCTGCCATTTTTTAACAGTAACACTTCGGTGCTTTAATACTGAGGAGACTTGCTATTATTCCATTTTATTTCACTTGAAGAAATGTTGATTGATTGATTATTGTATGCTTAATGTCCAGTTGCATATATTTCATGGTTCTACACATGCAGAGAATGTGGTACTCTATCTACATGAGGCATCGGATTTTTAACATCCCATTTTGACTGGACATTGCTGTTAATTTAAATATCCTGCAGAGCCAAACAAAAGCACCCCGCCCTCAGAAGAAGACGAATGAATCACCATATTTCCATGCCCAAGTCAACCCTTGGGTCTTAAAATATTGACAAGAAAGTAATATTGACAACATTTTTTTACAGGTTTCTTTCTCCTTTCTTGAAATATCCATAATATTTATAGTTTAATCATTTTCTAATTGACTGTCCTCTTTTTAGTGAGTAAATTTTACATAATTGATTGTACATGAAAATGAAATTCAGCACTTTAAAGATGTCAAATTCTGATGTTTTTATATAATATTTATTGTTCTAAGTCGGTAAGATGCAGAAATATCTGGGGGTTGTTCCATGACCATATGTCCCTTGTATTTAAAATGAAAAACTCATCATACCAATGGCTGCTTTCTAAAACAAATGTTATGATGAAATGAGCAGTGAACAATTCAGTTTAAATTACTATCAATTAAAGTTGCATAATTTTTTGTAAAAAGAGCTCTATACCAGAGAAATGTAAGTCACACCACGAGAGCCTCAGCTGTAAAGTCTTGTCAAGAAAATTATCAACAGTAATACAGTAATAAAGAGATACATTATAATTCTCAATAAAGCTTCAGTTATTGTTATGTCAGATATAAAATAGTCTTATGATAATAATCAAAATATATCACCTTCTACCAGATGTTTCACTTACAAATTTAATTGAAAATTAATATTAGTTTTAGTTGGATAGCAAACAATTGATTTAGCTGTATAATTTTTCAGAAATATTACACATTGGTTTAATAGATAATGTTTAATAACTGATTTATAATGTATTAGATATCCTATAATTTTGCATTAGTAAGGATTGTAGCTTAAAAAATGACAATCAGGAAGTCTATAGTTTTACATAATTTACATTTTCTTGTTACAATTTTATTGGATTACGTTAGTAGTATTTTTATAATGCATTTCTTTTGGTTCTGATCTGGATAGATTCATGTACATTCTGAACATTAGATTTAATCACTCTCTTCTCAAACTGCTAAACCAAATTTAATCAAATTTTCTGGTATAATATACAACGTGGGTTTCTCGAAAAAAATGTGCAATACATTTAGGCAGAGGAAAATATTACCCCTAGAGCTAATAAAGTTCTTGTTCTGAATGATGAATTAGAAAATTCTTAAATTTCTTCTTTATTGAAACTACACAATTTAAAATCCTTTTAAGTTGTTAGAGATGATGATTGTTTACTGGCTACTAATATTTCTTATTTTATGGTGATTTTGAGGCATACATGGCTGCAATGATGCCTGAACATTGGACCTAGTGTTTGATTGCCTATAGTGGATTCAAATTATACTCATGGGTACCAATTTTCTTTGAGCAAGATTTGATTGATACTTATATCATAGTTTTAATACGCCCATCATATACAGCATGTGTTATGCCATACCTTTTTGTCCATTTTATCACATGTCATACAATAGCTAGAGAATACTTTGATCTAGTTTCGTAAAACTTGTATGGTAATTTTGAATCTGTTAAAGACAGCTCACTTTCAATTATTTTTTTTTTTTTTTAAGTTTGTCTCCAGATTTATATGCATGGTTCATTTGTATGCTTTAAAAAAGTGATTTTGTTTTTGCTCTGTATGATGTCAACAGCACACATATTAGGGTGTTATATGTAAATCATGTGTGCAAAACAAGCTCTTCAGAACCACCTGTGTGTAGATGGGACACAGCTTCCATTGAACACAAATATTCTTGTTTGAAGTTTTAAACAGCTTGCTTATGTCATATTTTCATATTAATATGTCGGACAAAATATTATACAATTCTTTTAGCCATGTTAAATAAAACCCTAACATTCATAAAATCACTTGAAAGATTTTTGAGCTGTTGTCAAGTCAAAATTAGCAACTTTTGAATTGTAAAATGAAAGTAATATTAGAATTTACAGCTATTTAGCATGGCTGACATATTCAAATTAC